GAGAGAGTGTTTGTAAAAACATTACTTTGAAGCAGGAGAGGATCTCCAAAAAAGGTATTAAATGTATTAGGTCCTGATCATAGTGTCTTCTAACCAGCAGTCAACAGCAGAACACGTTCCATTTATTTAAACCTGAAGCAAACAGAGGAGACTCTTGCAAAAAAACTGGCATCCTGTGAAAGCAACTCATACAGCTCTCTTACATAAACAAAGTCCATCATGCAAAATGAAACACACACACTCAAATTGTTTGTATTGTGTAAGCTATTATCAGCACAACAATTTTCTTCCATTTGTCTGGAGTCGGGTCCTGAGGAACTCGTCCCCTACTTGGGCCCAGACTTCCTGGGGAGAGGCAAGTCTGGGCCCAAGTAGGGAGGCTCAGACTTCCCTGACCAGATGATGGCACTGGTTGTACAGGGGCCTAACTGTAGTAGTAGAGAAATCAAGTGTTTTGGTATAATAAATGAATTTAAGTCTATACTTTAACTAGGCCATTCCAACACATAATATGCTTTGATCTAGGGCATTATTCCATTATAGTTCATCTGTATGTTTGACCACTTTCCTGCTGGAAGGTGAATTTCAGCTCCAGCCATCAGCTCCTCAAACCATGAGTTTGCCACCAAAAGCTTTCAAAGACGATACAGTGAGTTCAGGAAGTCAGTTTTCCACCTTACACATGGTCACTGTCCTTCATGAGCCTCTTGTCTGCTGATTAGTGGTCTCTCCGGCCTGTCAGTTTACGCCACTGTGTGATGATGAGAACGCTCTGGTGGAGACAGCTGCATATTGTCCAAAGAAACAAAGACAAATCACCATCCTCCTGCCACTTCCTGCCATCTTCTTTGTGGTGTTCACTGGTAGTAACATGCAGCTGTTGATCGCATGAATGGTGTGTTGCAAAAAACATCGTTTCCATTTCAGTTTTGCTTAATAAATCTACTTCGATTTGGTCGAAAAACCACTCCATCGTAGTGCAAAACCTTTTCATCGAAAAATGTGTTGTTTTTTAATTGCTGCATTTCCGTTCAGCGAATTTATTTTTGTAATTTCAATTTGTGCATTTCTATGGTTAATGAAAACGCAGCTGGTGAAGCTTCTGGTTGCAATACGACAACAGAAAAGAGAGTTTACCTTAATGATGTATTTTGCTGCCTGAAAAGAACTAAAGGGATAATATCCATCGATGCTCTGAACATGAACTCCCTCTGGACTCCATCAGAACATGTGACCGTTCTCCACACAGCACCAGGACACAGTTAAAGGCTCTGCTGCGGTTCAGTCAGTCAGAGACCAGAGTGAAAAGAAACAGGTGCAAAAGCTCTTTCTGTATGTTTAAGGTTTAAATAAGCTGTTAGAGTGGAGAAATGGTTTACTATTATAATATATATATAGGTGGTGTGTGTGTAAAATTGCACTCCTGTAATTGATGAGAAGTCCTATGGTGTATGACATAATTCAGGAACTGAGATTTAAAGCATGTTTTAGACTTTTTTAAAAAATTCACATGATTCATTGTTCATTTCTTTTACACTGAGACAACATCAGACATTCTGTTAATGATTCTTTTACTTTTTCACCGTCTGTTACAACATAGATGTTTTGGAAGTGCAACCGTACAGTTTTCTTTTCACGTTTAACTACAGAAAGGATTCATTAATTGTGATAATAGTTTTCCATTGTGCCTTTTCCCTTTCTTCCAGCTCCACCGCTGTGCAGCCATGGAGAACAGCAGCAGCAGCAGCAGCAGCTCTTATTTTCACCTCGCCCTTTTCACAGACATGGGCAGCGTGAGATTCCTTTACTTCAGCCTGTGTCTCCTCGTCTACATGATCATCAACTGCGCCAATGTCGTCATTATCCTGACAGTGTGACGCTCCCTCCACCGGCCCATGTACGTTTTCATCTGCTGCCTGTCCTTCAACTCCCTGCGCGGCTCTGCCGGCTTCTTCCCCAGGTTTCTGTCCGACCTTATGTCCGACGCCCACTTCATATCCCGCTCCGCGTGCTTCGTCCAGGTGTTCGTGTTGTACATGTACGCCACCTGTGAGATGGCCATCCTCAGCATCATGGCCTACGACAGGCTCGTAGCCATTTGCCAGCCTTAGCTCTACCGGAGCAAAATGACGTTCAATACGGTGCTGGGCCTCGTGGTTCTGGCCGAGCTCTACCCGGCCTTCGTGTGTAGCTGCTGCCTGTCCCTAACCGTCCGCCTGCCGCTGTGCGGGTTCGAGCTGCAGAGGTTTTTCTGTACCAACTGGCCTCTGGTCCAGCTGTCCTGCGTGGACACCAGCGCCAACAACATAGCGGGTCTAATGGCTACCGTAGGAACCATTTTCGTGCCCCTGCTGTTCGTGCTTTACACCTACCTGCGCATCCTGCTGGTGACCAGGAGGAGCTCGCGCGAGCAGCGGGGCAAGGCGCTGCAGACCTGCCTGCCCCACATCGTCACGTGCGTCAACTACTCGGTTTGTTTCGTCGGGGAGCTCCTACTGAACCGCATGAGAGACGATGAAATTAACCCGTTTATCATTGTTGTTCTGTCGCTGGAGTTTTTAATCATCCCGCCCATCGTCAACCCTCTGGTTTATGGGCTGAAGCTGCCTCAGATCAGGGCGGTGGTGCTCAGATTTGTTTATCCCGCTCATAAGAGGTCAAAGAGACAGGCTACGTAAGAAGACTCAGTTCCTTAAAATAATGAACTGAGTCTTTTTTTTTTCTTTTTTTTTTGCCAAAAGGGATTTTTTTTTTTTTTTTTTTTTGGGAAAAACCCAAAGCTTTTTTTTTTTCCCCCGCCAAAA